TTTTTTTTTTTTTTTTTGTAGAGGCAGGGTTTTACCATGTTGCCCAGGCTGGTCTTAAACTCCTGGGCTCAAGCAATCTACACATCTCAGCCTCTCAAAGTGTTGGAATTACAAGTATGAGCCACCATGCCTGGCCCATCTTTCTCACTTCTATCCCTGTTCCTAAGATTATGCTCTCTGCCCTATGATACACTACCCTGATTTGGGGAAGGGGCTGGATTCAACTCCTTCCCTCAAAGCTGTCCTCAGAGATGGGAGCTGGCACCAAGCATTCTCAGTGATTGAGACTTCATGCCCAGTTTTAAGAATGAATCTCTCACCCAGGCCCTCGTGGGACTCCCAGCGCTGCTCTAACCCTGAAGCGCCCAGTGGCAGGGGACTTGGATTCTAGCCCCAGCTAGAGTCTCTGTTTCTTTCTGTAAAACAAAGGGATTACACCTGGAAGTCCCTAAGTACCCCTCTTCACTTTGATGCATTTTATTTTATTTTTATTTGAGACTGGGTCTGACTCTGTCACCCAGGTTAGAATGCAGTGGGGTGATCTTGGCTCACTGTAGCCTGTGCCTCCCAGGCTCAAGAGATCCCACCTCAGGCTCCTGAGTAGCTGGGACTAAAGGGCCACCACGCATGGCTATACTTTGATACATTTCAACAATACGTGAGGCCGGGTGCAATGGCTCATGCCTATAATCCCAGCATTTTGGGAGGCTGCGGCGGGCAGATCACCTGAGGTTGGGAGTTTGAAACCAACCTGACCAACACGGAGAAACCCCGTCTCTACAAAAAATAAATAAATAAAAAATAAATTAGCGAGGCGTGGTGGTGGGAGCCTGTAATCTGAACTACTCAGGAGGCTAAGGCAGAGGAATCACTTGAACCCAGATGGTAGAGTTTGTGGTGAGCCAAGATTGCACCACTACATTCTAGCCTGGGCAACAGAGCGAGACTCCATCTAAAAAAACAAAACAAACAAACAAAAACATGCTATCTAGACATTGCTAGAACTTAGCCTCTACCTCTCTTCCAGAAGAGGAATTGTTGGCACCTATCTGGGTGGTATGCCTAAGGGTCACAAGATGTAGTTCTGACTCCTGATCCATCCTGCTGAGCAAACATTGGGGGCTGCCCCCCATTCTTTGGCTAACCAGGAGTCCTACCCAGGCTGCCCTTTCCGTATTCCTAGGGCTGCAGGTGGGTGGGTGGTTGTGAGAGCGTCGGGGGAAGCCAAGGCCAGGCCCTGCCCTCCTGCAGCCTGCGCATCTCAGAAGGCAGGTCTGATCAGGAACTCAGAGCTATGGGACTCACTGGAATCCATGAGAATTCCAAGGAGTAAGAAGTCAGCAATCAGGAAAAGGAAGACTGGAGGGGAAACTGCATCAAAAATGCAGACAAGAGGGTGCCAGGCATGGTGGCTCACCCCTGGAATCCCATCACCTTGGGAGGCTGAGGCAGGTGGAATGCTTGAGCCCAGGAGTTCGAGACCTGCCTGGGCAACATGGTGAAACCCCATTTCTACAAAACAAAATAAGAACCCTATGGGCTGGGCATGGTGGCTCATCCCTGTACTCTCAGCACTTTGGGAGGCTAAGATGGTTGAATCACCTGAGATCAGGAGTTCGAGACCAGTCTGGCCAACATGACGAAACCCTATCTCTACTAAAAGAAAAAAATTACAAAAATTAGCCGGGCGTGGTGGTGCGTGCCTGTAATCCCAGCTATTTGAGAAGCTGAGGCAGGAGAATTGCTTGAACCCAGGAGGCAGAGGTTGCAAGATGGAGATGGCACCACTGCATTCCAGCCTTGGTGACAGAGGGTGAGTCTCTCAAAANAAAAAAAAAAAAAAAAAAAAAAAAAAAAAAAAAAAAAAAAAAAAAAAAAAAAAAAAAAAAAAAAAAAAAAAAAAAAAGAACCCTATGTGTATACAAAGCTCATAGAAATTGCTAAAGGGTCAAAAAATAACAAAGAAGCATAGAAAACAAAAAGTAAACTCACTCCTACTGTTGTCTTCCAGTCCTTCGTGTCTACTCAGGCAATGACTGCAGCTGCCTTCGAGGCCCTCCAGGTATCCCATGCTTACGTAATCAAATATATTGGTATGTGTATTTTTCTTTTTATTTTTGACAGAGTCTTTCTCTGTCGCCTAGGCTGGAGTGCCATGGCGTCATCTTGGCTTACTGAAACCTCTGCCTCCAGGTTCAAGCGATTCTCCTGCCTCAGACTCCTGAGTAGCTGGGATTATAGGTGTCCACCACCGCACCTGGCTCTATTTTTAGTAGAGACGGGGTTTCATCATGTTGGACAGGCTGGTCTCGAACTCCTGACCTTAGGTGATCCACCTGCCTCGGCCTCCCAAAGTGCAGGGATTACAGGTGTGAGGCACTGCGTCCGGCCAGATCCTAGGTTTCTAGATTCTCATTCTTTGAGCCTAACTCGGGAGTGGGGAAGGTGGCTCCCGGGCAAGTCAACTGACTGCACAGTTGCGCCCAAGGCAGGCCCTGGATCAAGAAGTGCTCAGAGCTCCCGGGTGCGAGGATCCGGATGGCTGCTGCTCCCGGAGCCTGCTTTCAATTCCCACTGGGCACAGGAGCCCCTCAGCAGCGCGAGGGGTCGCCCAGCCCAGACCTGGAACACTTGCTGCACGACCGTGGCGCGTGTCCCTCTGGAACCAGCTCCCACAGTCCGAGCGTCCTCCCTACTCCGCGTCCGGCTCTGCCCAGGCTGGGGCGGGGCCTCAGAAACGACCGCCCTGGCGCTAGCCACGGCCGCCCCTCGTTAGGCCAACTTTTCAAACGGCAAAATCAACCGCGCTGAAGAGACTGTGCCTCCGTCTCCTCACTCCGTATCTCAGTTGCCTCCAAGAAACTATCTTTCAGACCTTCGCGGCCTCTCCTGCGGCAGCAGCGTCCGGGAGCTGGGCACCCGAACTTACCCACATCGACCGCGACGTTTGGGCGCCACCTTGTGTCCGTTCCGTTAGCCTGCATGGACAACCCGGAAACCACATTTCCCAGCGTGCCTAGCGCCTCTGAGCAGGCGCAAAGAGTTTTCCCTAGTTGTCATGGGAACCTCGCCCCCCTTAGAGTCCTGACCGCTTGACTCCGCGAAGCGCGAACGTGTTGTTTCTTCCTGAGGTGCGCTGGGGCTGGGACCGGGTTTGCAGAAGGTCCGGGGGGGGGCGGCGTAGGGGGCTTGAGGAGAGGAGACCAAGCCGGCCTTGCCTCCGAGACCAGCGCTCCCAAATTCTCCGCGGCGTCCCGGCGTCCGCACGCTCCTGAGGCCTCGGCGTTCTGAGGAGAGGGACGGGCGAGGCGACTCGGGTCTGCGAGCTCGGGGTCCGGCTGTGGCCCGCGAAGCCCCGCTCGCCTGCGCCAGTGTCTGGTCACTTCGAGCCGAGGGCCTGGGCGTGGCGGACAGGTCCTCCCGGGCGCTGGCAGCCCGCGGGGAGGGTTCGCGCGGCAGGTGAACGCGGAGGTACAATCGGGCAGGGCAGTGAGTGCGCCCGAGGCTGGATCTGGCTCAGCCGCTGATGGATTCGGAACCCGGGAGGCCCCCAGGCGCTGTGGGCTTCAGTTCCCCCGCCCTGTAAACTGGGGCTTGGACTGGAATTCTAGTGCCCATTGCGATTCCGTTGCAGAGCAGGCCCTGGCTCTGTGTGACCTACCAGTTCCTTCCTCTGTAGAATGGGGAGTCTGAAACAGAAGCCTCTTTTGAGGGTGCAGTACATCACACACTACTGGCCTCGTTGCTCCATATTGCACCCCAAGTGCAAGAAGAAAGAAGAGGACCTGAGATGATCTGAGCAAGACTCTCAGCTTAGGATCTAGAGTCAGAGAAACTTGGGTTTCTGACTTTGGACAAAGTTAGCCTCAGCTTCTTCATTTGCAAGACTGGGGATAATGTTAACACCACCTCAGATTTTTGTGGATTGAATGAGATGTTACATGTAAGGTGTTTTTGTTTTGTTTTGTTTTATTTTTGAGACGGAATTTTCCTCTGTCGCCCAGGCTGGAGTACAATGGCGAGATCTCGGCTCACTGCAACCTGTGCCTCCCAGGTTCAAGCGATTTTCCTGCCCCAGCATCCCGAGTAGCTGAGACTACAGGCCTGCGCCACCACACCCGGCTAATTTTTTGTATTTTTAGTAGAGATGGGGTTTCACCGTGTTAGCCAGGATGGTCTCAATCTTCCTGACCAAGGTGATCTGCCCACCTTGGCCTCCCAAAGTGCCGGGATTACAGGCGTGAGCCACCTAGCCCAGCCCTACCAGCTCCCCCCGACCCCCGACCCCCAAGACGGAGTTTTGCTCTTGCCGCCCAGGCTGGAGTGCAGTGGCACGATCTCAGCTCACTGCAACCTCTGCCTCCCGGGTTCAAGCGATTCTTCTGCCTCAGCCTCCTGAGTAGCTGGGATTACAGGCATGCACCACCGTGTCCCACTAATTTTGAATTCTTAGTAGAGATGCGGTTTCTCCATGTTGGCCATATTGGTCTCTCACTCCTGACCTCAGGTGATCTGCCCATCTCGGCCTCCCAAAGTGCTGGGATTACAGGCGTGAGCCCGGCGACATGTAAGTTTTTAGTCTAGGGACTGCATGGAGGAAGTGCTATCCCATGTCCCAGCTGTCATTTTTGATAATTTTTACAACAGTCCCTAGCCACTGTAAGACCTTTTCTTAATTTTTGAAGTCATTTTATTTCTGGGCAAATCCATTCTCCTAGGCAGGACAGTTCTTCGTTTTCTTGTTTTGAGACAGGGTCTCACTCTGTGGTCCAGGCTGGAGTGCAGTGGAATGATCTCTGTGCGCTGCAACCTCCTCTGCCTCCTGGGTTCAAGCAGTTATTATGCCTCAGCCTCCTGAGTAGATAGGACTACAGGCACGTGCCATCGCGCCCGGTGAATATTTGTATTTTTTGGTAGAGATGAGGTTTCACCATTTTGGCCAGACTGGTCTCGAACTCCTGGCCTCAAGAGATCTGTCCGCCTCGGTCTCCCAAAGTGCTGGGATTACAAGCATGAGCCACCTCGCCCAGCCTGAAGTTCTTTTATTAGACTTACATGCTGTCTCAGAGCCATTCTTCTAGGGGAAGGAGGCGAATGGGCAGATCGTTATGGGGTAAGGGCCATATTGTTGGCATCTTTAGTACAGTACCAGCTAATTGAGAGCCAAGGGAGCAAGGTGCATAAATGGATAGGGGGTTTGTGAGCCTCTTTTCCTGGAACTAAGGTGAAGAACCAAGAGGGAAATAAACTGAAGCATAGGATCATGTAGCAGCCCTCAGGATCAGTGATACCAGTGATGGATAGTCTTTTGACTCTTGTGTTCATTCTTGGCTTTTATTTTTCTATGGCTCACTCCTTCCTAGGGCAGTTTCTCTCCCATCTGTGACCTAACTGGGAATGGGAAACTCTGTCCACCATGGCAACAGATTGCCAAGGCCTGCAGCTGCCGCACAGGGAGGAAGCTGGCTTCAGCAGCACCATCTTCAGGCCAGCTTCCAGGGCCCTGCCCTTCTCCAGTTCTGTCCAGGGCTGAACCTGCGCTAGGAGCTAGCCTTGAAGGACACCCCTTAGAGATGGGTGTCTAATGGCCTGTAGAGGGGAGAACTACCTCAGGACCTGGGACAGCAAAAGTGGAAAAGGTCAAAAGGAGAATGGCCTGAGGACAAGTCCTGTTTCAGTCATCAAAGGTCTCGATTCCCTGCTGTCGCTCAGAAGGTGCAGTCATCCTCAGAACAAGGAAGCTGGGGAGAGATTAAGCAGGTGCAACCAGAGAGGAGATAGAGCACAACTGACTGTCTTTTTTGTCCCTAGATTTGGGAGGCTGGAGGACATCTGGGGGCCACAGTGCTCCTTTTCCTAGAGACTCAACTCAAGGTGAGCCTTTACACCATCCTTCTGGCAGCCTGTGCTCCCACCTCAGAGAATGGTTCTTCCTTTTCATCCTTCTTTCCCAGTTCACTCCTACTCCGCAGGCCACAGGTAAGAGCCTGCAGGGTGCATCAGGATTTCCTTATAGCTAAATGCCATGTGAAGCCCTAGGAACTCCAGGCCGGGTAATTGAGAAAAGGTTGTGACAGCCCAGTGCCCGCCACAGAGGCTTCTTTCTGGCTGCTTCAAGGGCATTATGGTCCTATACGATTCACTAAGTGCTGGCACTTACATGAGATCTCATTTGATCTCAGCAGCTGTAAGGTCTTGTGTTGTGACTTTCACTTTTCCACAGGAGGGATCTGATTTCTTAGGTTGTAGGTCAAAGAACTGAATGATGCCACTGAGACCAGTGATCTTTCCACTGCCTCCATTATCACTGACAGGATGCCACCTGTCTCCTAGTGAGAGCACTGTCCTAGGAAAACCTGAAACTAGACCAAGACTCTCCTTTTTTCCCATTTCAGCTAGAATTTCCTGCCCATTTTCCTCAGTGTTCTATCCCAGCACAGCTTCTCCCCATCATTGGATGCATTTGATCCAAGTTTCTCACTCTCATGCCCTCAGTGATGCTGACTTGTTCTCAGGGCAGTGGGTCCCATCAGGGAGCTCGTGCTCTTCCCCTTGACTCTTCCAGGTGCACTCTCTCCCAGGCAGGCACCCTGGGTAGCTGTGAGTCTTTAGGGAATTCTGTTTCTGGGTTAAAGAACCAGGAATAGGAAAAGTGTTCCCCCACTGGGTGGGGAAGGAAGTTAGCAAAAGTTTGCCTGATGGGATTGGCCTGGGTAGTAATGCTATACCCTATGCGACCCCATCTCACTGGCACCCCTGACAGAGCAGCTCAGTGAGCTATAGAGGTGAAGGTAGAAGGTGAATGTGGCAGGGAAGGTGATAGCCCAGGCTAAAGGCTAAAGCAGGACCCCACCTGCTGGCATAACTCAAACCAGAGCCATGGAGGTGGAGGTGGGAGACATGTTTGGGTAAAGGAGGATGCCCCTGGGGAGAGGGAGCTGGTTATATGCATCCTACATGATTGATCTTCACAGGGCCTGAGGAGGCTTGGGGCTGGTCTGGTTTGCCCAGAACAGCAAACCCAGGCAGCGCACACTGCTATGCAGCTCCTCTCTTGGTTTGGTGGACTGACTCCCATTCTTTCATGGTCCTTCCACCCTCTCCGGTGGCTCAGCTAGATGCCTTCTCCAGGTCTGTCTGCCATCTGAGTGTTCCTATGCCAAGCTGAACTCTGCCTTCTCAGAATGTCCTCACTCCTGCCAAACTGAAGCTCTTATTTTCAACACAGAAATGAGAAATTGGGAGAGAAGCTGAGTGCCATGGGGCTAGAGTGTGTGGTTTGGAGGCAACCAATGGAATAATTTTGAGGTCAATAGGATGCTGAGCTGATCAACAGAGATCCTCCCCGCCGCTACTATGGTGGGTGGGGCTGTGTAGAGCAAGGCCTATATACAACAAGATCCGCAGGTGGTCCCCACTTGCCTACCTACCATCCTGCGCCAGCTTCACCCTCCACCTTGGCCCTGTTCATTCCTCTCTTCCCTCTTTCCCGCCTCTCCTCCCTCTAGGTAGTGCAAGCAGCAGCTGTTGACCACAGGGGCACATATGTTTGCCTTGCCTGTCTGCACTTGAGCTTCCTGTGGGTGCCCATCTTGGCCTGCATGTTGCAGGACTTGTGCTTCTGGGCAGATACTTCTGATTCTTCTCCTTTTTATGCAATTTTTTTTTTTTTTGACACAGAGTCTTGCTCTGTTGCCAGGTGCCAGGCTGGAGTGCAGTGGCGCAATCTTGGCTTACTGCAACCTCCGCCTCCTGGGTTCAAGCAATTCTCCTGCCTCAGCCTCCCGAGTAGCTGGGACTATAGGAGCGCGCCACCACGCCCAGCTAATTTTTTTTTGTATTTTAGTAGAGATGGGGTATCACTATGTTGGCCAGGATGGTCTTGATCTCTTGACCTCGTGATCTGCCCTCCTCGGCCTCCCAAAGTGCTGGGATTACAGGCGTGAGCCGCGGCACCCAGGCGATTCTTCTCCTCTTAAAGAGGAAAAAAGGCTCAGATAAGAGAGGAGGTTAAGGAAAGAAGACTTGGAACTATATGGAGGCTAGATAGGAACTAGGCTGAAGGGACGCTGTCAGAGAAGAACTCAAGGTGCCAGGAGCCCAGGCTAGCTGTAAGGATCTAATGGTCCCTGGGACTGGGTTGTGGGGCCAGGTGAGGCTGGTCTGATGGAGGAACTGTCCTTGGAAGGAGAATTCTGTTTCTGGCTGGATGCTTGTTTGAGTACAAGGGACTGTGAAGGATCCATTTTACAGTAAGCCTGGGATGAAACTAAACTCATTCTTTTTTCTCACAGCTCACCCCTGAGTCTTAAGCTTCAAACCAGCCCTTCCTGCTGATTTTTCCATTACTGCTAGTCTCCTATACCCAGGTGTAAACCTCAGGGTAACTCTGACTTTCCACATTTAATCAATTACCAGATTCCAATGGTCCTTCACAAAACAGTTGCCTTTTGCCCCCACTTCCTTCACCCAGCCCAAGTCCCTGTTCCCATGCCTCAGCTACTGTGACAGCCTTCCAGCTGGCTATGCCCTTCAGTCTGTCCAGACCATTTTCACTACATAGAAGTATTCATCACTTTGCATGTGTTATTCCTAAGCTAAATGCCTTTGGTGATGCTCTCCATTGCCTGCCATGTACAATACAGACTCTCTATTCTTTTTCTTTTTCTTTTTTTTGAGACAGAGTCTAGCTCTGTCACCCCAGCTGGAGTGCAGTGGCATGATCTCGGCTCACTACAACCTCCATCTCCTGGGTTCAAGAGATTCTCTTGCCTCAGCCTCCCACGTAGCTGGGATTATAGGCACGTGCCACCGTGCCCGGCTAATTTTTGTATTTTTTTGTAGAGACAGGGTTTCACCATGTTGGCCAGGCTGGTCTTGAACTCCTGACCTTGTGATCCGCCTGCCTCGGCCTCCCAAAGTGCTAGGATTACAGGCATGAGCCACTGTACCTGGCCCAGACTCGATTCTTTTGCTAAAGGCCTTTATCAATCTGATGCCAGCCTACCTTTCTGGCTTTATCTCCCAGAACATCCTAGTATGTATCTTTCACTCTCATCAAACTAGACTACTGACTGTTTCTTGAAAACACTTTTTCCACCTCTTCATCTTTGCGCATGCTTGTCTTTTCTGTCCAGGAGGGTCTCTTCCACCATTCATCTCTTCATTTAAAGGTATTTTTTGAGCACTTTTTAGTTTGAAAAATTTCTTTTTTTTTTTTTTTTTTT